TAGTTTAATAAGCCTTAAGTACATATTAATTAAATTGCGGTTTATCAGGAAAATGTTTGACATTAACCTCAAGTTGTCTAGGGAAATATTATTTTCTATCCAGTCACCTAAAAGTCCCGTGTTTTCTGCAAAAATGACTACAATTAACTGTTGCAGAGGTTTTATTTCTTGTTTTTCCTTGTTATAGGATGTATTGTACTAAACAATATTGCCTAAAAACACATTTTATTTATAAAAATAAAAATATAATAAATAATGATTTTTCAAATATTTTTCATGTAAGGGGGTTATGAAATTGTGTTTTCTCCAAGATTACCGTCATAAAAATGTATGCATATTTATAAGTGACAAACATCATGTTTTTAGCCCTAATATTTTCGTTTTCATGAAAATTATTGATGCACTCAGTAGATTTGTTTATTTTAAACGTAAATTTTAGTAAGAAACATTAAGTTTGTCACTAATAAATACTTATCAATTCCTATGGAAGAGATCTCGGAGGAAAAACAGTTTCGTTTTAACTTTTACTATAAATATTTTTGAAAAATCATTATTTTTTATTTTTATAAATAAAATGTGTTATTAGGTAACTACGTTTATTATAATACATCCCATATCATGGAAAAACAAGAAATAAAATCTTTGCAACAGTTAGTTATGGTCATTTTTGTATAAAGCAAGGGCACTTTTAGGTGACTGGACAGGAATTACATAATTTCTTTACACAATTTGAAGTGAATCTCAAATTGTTTTCAAAATAAACCTCAACCTAATTAATATGGACTTAAAGCTTACTAAAAGAAGAAATATTTCTAAAAGTTTAGTAAGTTTAGTACAGTTGTAGAGTGATAAAAAAAAAATCACAAATTATTTGTGAGTTTTTTTTTTAAACGGAACTTAGCTGTTTCCTCTTTAAATAGTTTTGAGAATGACAAACTCTACTATTATAAATATTAAATTTTATCTAGTTTACTATGGAGCAATGTTTAATTAATAAAATTGTATATTTTTTAAGACATTGCATCGGATTCAACAAAAGACGTGACTGGCTTAAAAAAACACATATCTTAAATTTCCTACTTTTCTACTGGAAATTGGGCTATTGTTTATATCAACTTTTTTGTAGGTCTTGATGTCACATTTTACCTTATTTAATATTTCCCTCTTATTATCCCTCTTCTTGAAATATTATATTATCTGAAATATTATTATTGTCAGGCCTAAATAAAAACAAACATATAAATTAAAAATAAAGAGAAATAAGTAAAGAAAACATTAGTTAAACATACTATATACAAAATTTAAAAAAATCTATATAAAAAACAATTGAAACCATGCCAAGACACTTAAAACTATGTACACTGGTAAAGCACAAATATTCACTTTTAGAATAAAAAATACATTACATTGGTCTTAAAAATAAACTTTGTGGTTCTGTAGAAAAAAAAAAAGAAAATCGAATCTGACAGTAAGAATTGTTTTGAGTATTTAAGTGATGAATTATATGTAAATACATCATTATGTAAATCATTTTGAATAATATATAATTTTACATAAAAAGTTAGAGGTTATCTGACTTTTTTTGGAACAGAAATTGGAATAGGAGGGTTTTAAATGTAGAAAGGGATTAGGAATGCCGAATTTTGATAGGAAGGGAATTCCAGAAATTAACAGAGCGAGCAGTAAAGGAGTTTTGGAATGAGGCAGATCTGTGAGAAGGAATGTTAAGGTCGGAAGGTCGAGATCTTGTGGAAAGGGACTGGAATGAGGACTTGAATTGGAGAAGGTTTTAGGCGTAAGAAGGATTGTTGATAAGTTGATAGAGGAACGTACCTAGGAAATATTGTCTTGGAAAGGAAGAACCATTTTAACTCAGTGTAGTGGTGAGAGACATCTCGGGGCACCAATTACAAATCTTACGCAGCTGTTCATTAGTCTTTTCAGTCTGTCACGGAGCTCCACCGAGAGTCCGAGATAGAACACACAGCTGTAGTCAAAGTGTGGGAAGATGAGAGAGGAGACCAGGAGTCAACGCTTATGTTGAGGTAGGAGATGGCGGAAGCGATGGAATAGTTTGAGGATAGAAATTGTCCGTCGGGAAAAGTCAGAAATAGGGTGATTCCAGGAGAGGATTTGATCAATGAAAAATCCTAAATTTTTGACAGATGAGCAGAAGGAGTTTGGCTGGTAATTAAGGTTTAGTATAGGATAGTCGGTATAGGATCTATGAAGAGCCTTGGAACCAATTACAATAGCCTGAGTTTTGGCAGCATTTAACATTAATCCGTTTACATTTGCCCAGGCACTGATTCGATCTAGGTCTTCTTGAATTTTGGCAAATGCTACCAACATCTCAGAGAAAAGGATAGGTAGATTTGAGGATCGTCTGCATAAAGGTGATGGGAACAATGGAAAATTGAATCATACAGGTCGTTAATGTAGGAACTGAAAAGGAGAGGATATGTGCTTGATCTCTGGGCAACTCCGAAGGATAAGGAAAGATTTGCAGATAGCGGTTGATTGGGAACGGAAACTGATTGGGTACGTTGTGAGAGGAAAGATTGAAACCAATAAATGGAACTGTTGGAGAAGGATAGTGATTTTAGTTTGTTGAAAATGATGGGATGGTTAATGGAATCGAATTCTTTGGAGAAATCAAGAAGTATAAGGACAGTTAATTTTTTATCATCTATTGCAGTCTGAATATCACTAGTAATTTTAATTAAGGCGAATTGTGTGGAGTAGCAGGGATGGAAACCAGACTGGAGAGGATCAAATTGATGATTATAAAAAAAAATCGCGAATAATCAATGATTTTTCTAAAAACAAAACTTAGCTTAGTTTAGTCTCTCAAAAGTAATCTTTAAATGGTTTTAATAATAATAAACACTATTTTTGTTTAAATCAAATTTTATCAAGTTTACAATGAAGCAATTCTTAATAACTTAAATTAAATATTTCTTTAGTTATTGCTTTCATTTCAACAAAAAACACGAATCACTTAAAAAAACACAAAACTTGAATTTCATATATTTCTACTGAAAATTGGCCTGTTGATTATATGAACTTTTTTTGTAGCTCCCGATGTCTGCTATCGCTCCTATAAAAATTTCCCTCTACTTAAGGGACACCCTGTATATATGTATATATATATATATTATGCAAATAATAAACAAAAGTGAATAATTACTAAAATGTGTAATTTATATGTTTCCACAGATATAAAGTATTACAGACATAATCTTGTTATTATATAGATGTGTGCGTTTTTATTTTTATATATTTGGGTTTCCACTTTCATTACTTTTTTGGGTGTAATGAAAAAGAGGGGGGTGGCATTGGGGCTCGCGATCCTTTTTGCCAACTCCAAACAATAAAATGACTACCTCCTGCATAAAAATTGTTTGCTGTATCTTCGACAATTTTGATCTGATTATATATATATTTTTGTTACTTTAATTTATCTATCTTTCTGAAGTACAGCGCACTATATCTTTACTGTTTATTGATTGATTATTATACTAATACTGTTTCTATTTGGATGGTTTTTTTTTTTTAAAGATTTAATTACCTTTTAAGTTATTTTATAAATTTTTCTTGAAGTATACTATTTGAATTAAGCGTAAATGAAATTATTGGTTGTCTTAACTGTTCACCTTCTTTTTTCAAAACATTAGCTTCTCGAGCCATTGATAAAAACTATTTATGAGTTTGAGAGTTTCTGGGAGAAAGTTTTTAGCAAAATGATTAAAATTGTTTTGGAGAAGAAAAAAAAACACCTGTTTGAGTTCTTTCAGTCCTCTCGAACAAGGTGCATCTAATTTGACAAAAACCCGATTTTTTTAGTAATTAAAAATTGATTGATTTTTTTATTTATAACTATTTCAAATTCATTAATGAACACCCAAACTTGGTGGCAGTTAAATTGGTCACAACTTATAAAAAAAAACCTTCATATTGCTATAAAAAGTTATTTATTAAATTATATTTATTATTACGGCTTATTACAATTATTGTATTCCGATCTCCAGAACTTTCTGCCGCCATTTTATTAAATCAGACCTCTCTGAATCTCACAGTCCTCTGACAGCCATTCTCTCTTTACATCTTCAATCCACGCTTCCCTTAGCGTCCTCTCATCTCACTAGATTTTTAAATCGCTATCATAATATATAAATTTTTTACTTATAAATATTTTTAATTGTGTATTATATTATAACATGTAATATATTATACATTATAATATTTTATTATATAATGATATTGTATTATATGAAATTATAGTGACACACGGATTTGAAAATATAGTGAGAAGAAGAGGCGTGTATTGTGATAAGATGTGAAGGGAAAATAGCTGTAAGCGGACTATGAGATTTGGAAACGCCCGTTTTAATAAAATGGCGGAGAAAATTTGGGGGATTGGAATACAATAATTTTTAAAAAAAGTGCAAGTCCGAAATAATAAATTTACTTTGATAAATATCTTTTGAATTTTTTTTTTTATAAGTTTAAGTCGATTTAACTGCCACCATGTTTAATTTGTGGTTATCGAACTCCAAGTAGTTGTTAAGGTAATACTAGAGTTGGGCGGTTCATTGCCAAAAATATTGAAAAGTTCTTATTAATCGATATTTCATAAAATATCATATTATGTTATTATATAATTTAAAAATATGCTGAGAAGATGAGACAACGAAGGTAGATTTGGAATGAAGAAATAGCTGTAAGAGGACTGTGAAATTAGGAATGGTCTATTAGAATAAAATGGCAGGAGAATTCAATAATGGTAAAGAGCCGAAACAATATATTATTGTGTAGCACCCTATTAAAGAATTTAAAAAAAAATGTCTTATTCGGTGTTAATAAGTCAACTTATACTGACAATTTATTCATTAAATCTTTTACTAGCTCCTAAGTTCAAAGAGTCCAGTGCAGATTGTTAACCTAATTGTTTAACAGATTAAATTATAAATTGTATTATTATTCTTTCCCCGACGTACCTATAGATAACGCAATCATGGGCTTCCCCGGATGAGGTTCCAGCTTGAGGCCTTCCACCAGTTGGCGGATGGGGTTGTCGCTCTTCCGCGCCATCGCCGACGCGCGAATCCTCCACTCATCGTGCTTAGACATTTCTGATGTGGAACAAGTGAGCACCCTGAGGATATAGTCCGGGTATTACATAATATCGGACGAGCCCCCAGCGGGTAGGGGTGGTGTGATGGCAAACAAGAAACTCGTTTTTACCGTATAACCTTGTCCTCGAACCACAAACAAGTCGCACATATTTCTGGTCCAGTTTTGCATTCATTAGAATATGGTGTTGGGCAGATCCCATTGGTATCAAATAGAACGCAATTGGATTACGTTGCCTGTTGTAATTATCTCCACAAACAATCTAACAAATATGTTTGTTTTCATTTTTTTAAAATTGATATAAACAACTAAGTTGCTCGGATTGATGCACCTTGCTTAATGTATTATAATTATTAATGGATTTTTAAGAAACTAAGTAGTTGTTTTCTAAAAGCATAAATTTGAAAAACAGTTTATTGCGTTGTTCACCATTTTTCTTTCTCTTTACATTACAAAGTATTTTTTTTGTATCTTAAGCTAGCTGGTTAGACGTACTTCATGTAGGATACGAGGTAACAATCCTGATATGAGTACGTTTCATAGCGTTTCTGGAGCAACACTAGGAATGCTTTTATTTTTTATAATATAGTTCAGTAATTTTTAACATTACCTTCTCACTTCCAAATCGAGTACGAGAGTTGAAAATTTCTATATGAATTGATTCTACATAAAAGATTTCGAAAGCCTAGATTTTTTCCAAATGCTTATTACATTTTTGGCGCGGGTTTCCCTGTTTTGTACACCTCTACAGCCCCTCCGAATTGATTAAGATAAAACGTTTTTATCTGAACTGAATTTATCTTGGAAAATAAAATTCTCAAATTTTACCCCCACCCTCCCCTCCGATATTTATAATTGTTTTCACACGTTTTTAAAGGTTTTGCGCATTTCCATAGCGCCTTTTAGCGGAGGGGCGGGATTGCCGAGCGGGCTAATGCGTATGCACAGCATCGCGCGTTGTCCGGCAAGCCGGATCAAATACAATTAGACGAAAATAACTAAGAGTTCACGGAATCTCCGGAATCTAGTCTTTAACTTAAACGAGGAGCGATTCCTCGCCACGGCTGACGTCGATGACCTCGCCGTTTTGGTGTCCTCGAACAGCAGGGCCAGCCAGGCTGAAAGATAAAGCTGAACGACGCGCCACCCGGGTAGAAAGATTGTGCAAGGGAAAGAAGTTGAGGATGGCCAAGACTCAGGCTATCCTCTTAGGCACGGCTGATAGGCCTCATTTTGTAACAATGACAATACAAGGAGTGAGAATAAGTCAGAGTGAGGTCGTCATCTACCTTGGAGTTACGATCGGAAATAAATTTAATGTGACGTCTCACTTGGTCTACTTAAGAAGTAGGGTGACCCTAGCCCTTGATGGGCTCTGTAGTAGTTTTTTGGGGCTTCAGATACCCAACGACAATGACTATACATAAAGGAGTGATTTTGGGTATTCTGAGGTACTCGTCCCCTACCTGGAATAGAAATCTCTCCCACCAGCAGAAGAGCAAGTTGGTGACAATTCAGCGGATGACTCTGCTACGGGTCACCAAGGCGTTTAGGAGAGTGTCTCATGAGACGGTGCAGCTTCTTGCGGGAGGAGTATCCTGTAAGAAAAAAAGTTTAGGCATCTGATGAAGATAGAAGATTCGGCTGATCTATCAGTGAATCTCCGAATGGGGATCAGTGCAGAACCCAGATAATGGGAGAGAATCCTTCAAGAAAATACATTTGCAGAATGGAACCGGCGACGAGTAAGAAAAACTAGCGACATCTATTTGAATTTATCTGAATATATAAATTTTAGAACTTCAAAAACTAGATAAACTGTTTTATTGACACCTGTGTTGTTCGTAGGGTTTCTGAGAATATTTTCAGTTGGCGCAATATACATTTTTCACTGTTTTTATTGAATAGTTCGATTGAAAAAAAAAAAAAAATGATTTAATCGATGTTGCGAGTTTTCTCTTACTCGTCCCGCTGTGGGGCAAAATATTTTCCTATCGTTGGTTCGAGATTAGAAGCCACATGGATCACACCAGACTACTCGATCTCACAGGACATGGGGGTTTTCGAGCTAAGCTCTTCTCTCTTGGGAAGAACATTGATTCCCTATTAGTTCGTGGTACAGGCTTCTTTTTATCATATTATTAACATCTGGCTGGAACTTCAAAAAAATCTCATCGTAACCTACAAATATTTTATTTACGAAAATTCTCGGAATTAGAGCGTTTTCAATCTGGATGGCGACAAACTTTATCTATTTAATTAGGTACTAAAAACTCGTAAATAACCATTTGCTTTCCACTTGAATCGTGAGATAACATAAACACAAAGTCGAGAAAAAATATTGAGTCGTTTGGTGTAACCTACACCCCCAAATTGTCAAAGTAACGTAAGCTTATGAAGGCCAAACGACCAAATATTTTTGAAGGTCACATTTTTTCTCGACTTACTGTGTAAGTTATCTTACGATCCAAGTGGAAAGCCACTGGATATTCACGAGTTTTTACAACCTAATTAAATATAGAAAGTTTGCCGACCTCCAGATTGAAAACACTCCAATTCAGAAAATTTTCGTTAATAAAATATTTGTAAGTTATGATGACAAGAACCTATTTACGAAGTTTCAGCCGGATGTTAATAATTTGATAAAAATGAGTCTGTACCATTTTATGTCCTAGTTGCGGATTACCGGTGGCTGCCGAACACATTGTTATAGCCTGCACGGCCTATGAGACACTTAGAACTAAACTGATGAGGGAAACTGCACTTTTTGTTCTAACGGAGTTCCCTCAGCCCAATAACAAAGAAAATTACCCTCACTTCAAATAATTTATATATGAGTGCAAAACTATTATATACCTAGAACCCTTCTCCTTGGGACAGACTGAAGGAACTTGCAAAAGATGGTATTTACTTATGAGTAATATCCCACTGCTTCAATCACCCGTAATGCCTACTAGGCAGAGAATGGGGAAAATAAACTAAAATAAAATAAAAACTACGAGTTCGCGTTCTGGTGCGCGGAAGAACTTTTAACTGTGGCATTAAATCCCCCGCTCTCACTCTCTGACTCGAGAAAATCCCGTATAGCCTATAAGGCGAGGAAGGGAAGGACAGAGAAAAAATCACCTTTCAATGGGGTCAGAATATTGAAAAATCGTATTCAAATTTACCTTAAAATTCTATTAAATTTTCTAGTTTGTTCATCAATGAAACAACTGAATCACTTTTCATCTGTTTCCAATACGAAAGGATGGAAGAAATACTATTAATTTTATTCAGTACAATACTAATTTTTCGTAGTAAATACTAATGAATAATAAATAAATTATTGTCTAGCCGCAAAGAAACCGTTTGTTAGTGTGGTTTTACCGAAGAGACTCCTGATAAACGATGTTAGAGTTTCATTCTAGGCTACTGCACGAAACGTAAAGATAAAGTGAAGTTAATCTATACTAAATCTAAAAAGTTTTACACTAAAAAGCCTTGATGTTCATTTGGAAGTCTCCCGGACGTACTCAATGTTCATCCGATGCCTGGGGGATGCTTAAAACGGTTTTAACTATTTAACGACAGAATTGAGTTTGATAAAATAAATATAAAAATAAATTTTAATTCTTAGTTCATTTTTTTATCGGATTGCGGATAAAGGTTTAATTAATAATTAATGTTGGCAAAAATCTTGTTACGTCTCTTAATATCGATAATTAGAAATTTGGTCTGAATTATCTTTGCCATATTTGTATGAAAAGAGGACCAAAAATCTAAGCGTTTAATGCTCTGTCATTTTGTTTTAATGTTGGTTAGTTTAGAACCTTTTAGAGCTCTATAAAATATTGGCGAAAGCATTTTAGCCGTTTTCTAGCGCAACAAAAAACAACAATAAAACTAAGATAATTTAAAAATGTTATTTGATTTGATTTTTATGTATCATCATGTTTCTCGACAATACGTATATATTCATATTTCTTCCTACTGGTGGGGGTCACTAATATTTTGAATATTACTCTTGGATCTATCTATTAAACCTTATGGTTCTACTGCTATGGCTATGCTACAATATAATATCTTGATATTTCCAAGAAACTGGAGGTTGTGTTATACTAATAGATTCAGAAGCGGATACAGAGATTTGGACGAAATATTACCATACCTTGGGTAGAATTTATTGTGGGTGGACAACCTACCGGCGTAACTTAGTAAGTAGACCCAGTAGCTATCGCCAAATTATTTTTACCCTCTTATTGCAGAAATGTGGCATAACGAGTACATCTCAGAAGATTGGAAGAATTGGCTACTCGTTAAATTTGGCAACTTGGCAGGAATGTTCAAACTGGAGAGGAATAACACTCCCATCGGTTCCCAGCAAGATATTGTGCCACATTATTCTGAATAAAATTAAGAAGGCTGTTACTGGCAATTTTTTTATTTTTTTTTTGTATTCATTGATATTTACAACTGTATTATAAAAAAATACAACTAGTAAATCTGCATTCAGGAATATAACAACAAGGCATTGCTTGTCGAGAAACTAACCACTGATAGCACTCAAATTATAAATTTACACAAGAAGATCACGAGGCCACCTTCTTTGCATACGCCTCGGAGGTTTACCAGGGATAGAGGAGGAAGTAAGGTTTGACGAGAGGGTTCGGAGGGTTTTGCAGTTCGTTATGGAAGGATAGATATTTGGATTGGGCCAAATCGGCAACATATGGAACACCAAGATCTTTATGGATGATTTCATTTGTGACAAAATAAGGAGCGTTGAGGATTTTACGAAGGATTTTAGATTGTAAGGAATGGATACGAGAGGAATTCGATGGTTTAGTGGTGCCCCAAAGCTCAATTCCGTAAGTCCAAATATATCTTATTATTGTGATATATATATATGAGTCGTTTGTAATTGATTGAAAGCTTTGAGCGTTTGTCTAGTAAGTGTTGGAGTAGTTGGAAACGTCGAGCGGTTTCTTGTAGTTTTAGTCTTGTATGAGGATTCCATGTGAGTCTTTTGTCCAGGTGGAGTCCTAGGTAACGAATTTGTTCAACTGGGATAAGTGGGGAATTGTTAAAAGATACTGTAGGACTG